ACTTGTCAGCTGGCTGCTAGGTGACTATTCAGAGATGTAAGCAGTAAATAGAATATCTGCGCAAGCGAAACTGGTTCTTTCCAGTCCAGCGACCAAATTCCTCCAGAGTTATCTTTTATGGTTTAATTGGTTGCGTTACCCGATTCAGTAATATATATATATATATATATATATATGCATATATATTTGAATTGTGCTAAGTTTCATGAATTTGCTGCTCACTTCTAACTCAGCTGAGGAACTCGAAGAAACGCTCCAGTTTCCAGAACGTGAGCGGCAATTTAGTCTAAATAATAGTGCACATCTCGGAAAGTTTCAAATCAAGTTGAGGTTGAGTTTTATTATGTTGGTTAAGGAATCCCAATGGAAGAACCACGAACTGTTTGACAATATTGCGGAATGTAGGTGGCTCGTGAGCGTTCTTCTAGCTCATGATCTCTGACTGCGCGGTCGAATGAATGGCGTCTCTCGTTGGAAAATCCAATATACTTGAGTTTGCCGTACAAATCAATGTGTTGGCGGACATAGTCAATCGCCGATTGTCCCAATCATTAAAATACACGTTTTCGGTTGGAAATCTGCGGTCTCGATTTACAGCAAACATTTGCTCAACTTAAACCGCAATGAAAAGTTGCCAGTTCTTACCCATAATATGGTTGTGCATTCTTTCTCTTGCTGTTGTTCAGCAAAGCATGTTGTGCGCACGAAGCGTCAACTTTCTTAGAGAATTCGCGAGCACTTCTCTTACCGGAATAACACCAACGTCAAACGTTCAGCTAGGAGCGCAATCGCACCCCACCTAATCGACACCAGGCACATAGTCATGCTAAATTGGTCATTTCAAATCATTTACCGCGTGTGAAATAGACTGCTAGTATCTATTCAGCAGCGCTGCTTCACTACACCGGAAGCAGTCGCCATACGCCAGCGAAATCTGGTATTGTGCTGTCTAACACGTTTCGTAAGAACACTGAGTCTGCCTCGGTCGTATGACATGAATAAACCGGCCAAGTCACTCAACAGCCCTCTTCACCGTCTCACACCATCCAACTAGATGTCACGTGGGGGCGCAGATAACCAATCGGTAGTGTCTCCACGTGTTACTATTCACTAACCAATCTTCGTATTTTAACCATTAGGTATGTACTGACCCGATGACCAGATCTCGAAAACAATAACGTTCGTCAATACGTTCTTTTTCAGACCATGGGAATATTAAACATTTCTATCATAAAGAAAAAAATGAAATGCTGGGGCAGTTAACTTATTTCATAATGTGTTCGATCATGTCCATCTGGAACCGCGAAAGTATGATGACCGCAAATTGGTCTGGCTTAATGTATTGGTTAGAATGGCAACAGACGCCAACTGCAAACTGAAGTTTCCAAAAAATAAACTCACGTTTACTAGCTTCTGAACTAGTACAGCCACCACCCGAACTACCACAAACAAAGTTAAGTTCGAAATCGATTCAAGCGGATTGCAACGCTGTGCAACACAAAAACGTCAGAGGATGAAGAAGTGATCAGCGCTGACAACGCGGCTGTACGGGGTTGAAACAGTTTTACTTTGGCCCTGGACTGTTTCGGCTTGAACTGACTTCAATCTACCAATATAATTTTGATTGAATTTCAAAATCTTATTGGTACGCTGAAAAAGCACTGATACAGCAGCGGCTTTACCGTTCCCCGTGGGAATGATTCTGGCTGGAACCACAATGCTTAGAAGTGCTTTTTGTGCCTTGGGATTGTTGGGTTAACGAAAAGCCAATTGCTGTCAATTCCAATGAAATATTTTGAAGTATTATGTCATGCCCAGTAAACGCGTAATGTGATGGACATATCAAATATATTATGAATAGCTGAAACACTGCACAAAAGTGGGATGCGTATCATTGTTGACCGTGTCTTTATAATCATATCAGGACAATGATTGAAACACGAGTTTGGATACACCTGAAATATTTAGTTTCTATGACTTCCTGAAAGCACAGACTACGGAAATCTACCAAATGAAGCAAGCTGATCTGGATTGAGTGCATGTATGTTGACTTATTGAGTAACGTCTTCAGTTCGTGTACCGCGGAAATCCCTCGTTCGCTGTGAAATATTTTGTGTTGCGTATGCAGCAGGCTACCCAAAGAACGCCCATGAGCTGCTGCCAGTTTTCTCGAAATCAAGAGAAAATGGCAAGATGCCGTTTTCGTTTCCGAACCACGGGCCGTCAAATTTTGAGTTCGGGACTTACACGCCGAGCTATCTGGATCTTATGTAAGAACCATTGTACAGGAATTCTTTGTTCTGATGTTTGAATACAGTTATGAGACAGATTTCTGAGGTCCTAAATGATTTTTACAGGAATAGTTATTTACTGGTGGAAATGGTACCCCGGCTGCACCACCCGAATTATTTCGTTACGAGTTAACATCATCGATGGTTTTTTTAATAAAGCGTAGATTCCGAGGTATGGAATTCGAGCATCTGGAATATAACAGGAGTATTTATTTTTTCGAATTTGCTGGCAAGCATCACCATTGAGATTATTTGTGTGTAGTCATAGTCATTATTTCTTCCTGCAGGAAGTAACATGCGCTCCAAGCAAGGCAGTTTTATGGTTCGTACTGACTAGTAGATGCGTCGTCACACGGGTACATTTTTGGGATTTCTGCCGCGGAAAAGGGAGCTCGCTTCTGTCATTGTTTCCTGGTCCGGTATATCCAAGAATTTGCGCAGGGCAGGTGTACCAGACAACTTAGAGTTCATCTGGTGGTATGACCCGCGTTGAATCAGACATGCCACTGTTGTATTGTTCGAACACAATTCTAACTTGGCTGTTAAAAAAATTGAAAGCCAAGGAACATTTTAACAAACTCAAAGATTGTCGTGTTTCCTTGTGTGATGTAACGTATTCATTTAGCTTCTTTGTAAAACATCCATACTACTCAGTTTAATCACAAGGGAATTAGTGCGTTATGTGTAAGAAAATGTTGCTTAATAAGCCCCTTTGACATGTTGAACTGATCGGGATAGCAAAGAACAAGCTGTCACTCAGAAATCTTCCCAGCTGCCGCAAAAAATTACAATATATTTATTTGAATGTGAAAACATTGGAACGTCAAACACAACACACACGACAGAATTGCAAGATCCAGTAGGCAAACATGGTTGTTGTGTGTGATTCCTATTCTCTTCATTGGTTCCTCAGCCTTGATATGCCTACAGAAATGTACTCGTTTTCTTCTAATCTTCTAAAATAAAATTTATATTAACGGAACCTGTATGGATAGAAGAAGCTTGCAAGTAATCATAAGTTGAACGGACAATTTCCCTTGGTATCTTTCTCTGGAAGTGCTGGTTCTGACATGTGGTAGATCAAATCAGCAGGAGTATTTTTAGATTTTCCCGTTAGTTGGTTACTTTCACGCTGATTTGGTAGATTCCGCTGGGAGAATTTCGAATGTATCGGACAATACCCGTTTTAATGTGCAACTTCGTTTAATTCACCAGACAAGCGGATTGTTTTTGGAGACGCCGGCCAATTTAGAGCATCTTCCAATTATTATGCGAAATAACGTCTTAGCCCTCATTACTACGGGTCCCCTGGTTTATTTTATGCGCTTACCAATAAAACGTATGCAAATTGTTCTAAGCTGACATCCCTGCTTAATTTGACACATCCTTCTGTGACCCTGAGTATAAAAGGGTCAGAATAATTCACCTTCCAAACTTGGTTTGAGATCCACAAAAACGACTGAACTCCGAGCAGGGGAATCACGCGTTTAGGCAAGAAAGTAAAATGGGAAGGATTGACATCCTTCAGTTGTAATGTTTGGGTGTCTTGGCATATCAGGTGATCCCCCAAAACGGATAGCTTTTAAGGGAATATCGTGTGTCCTGTGTGGCTTTGTGCAGCTTGTGGGTAGAATTCGCGGCTGCCAATAATAAACGGTGATCAACTCGTCTATATTTGCGACCTGAAACGTGGGGCCCAGTAACGGCGATTCCACAAATTGGGTAGAAGATAGACATAATGTGGAATTTGCATTCCAAAAATATTGTCCAAGGCCTGCGTTCTGACCTCCTTGCGTATAGTTGAAACAAACACTTTTGCACGAGCAGCAGCCCAGCAAAATTAAGTACAAGGACACTCACTGTTCCGAACGTGCAATAATAATCAGGACTGTGTAGTTGTTTGTATCTTGCTGCGTGAATCAAAATAAACTCGGATATACATGTATTCGCGACTGGATTCGACAAAATCCATATGGATAACGGGGAAAAGAAAAACGTCCACCGGGATGGTAGAAACGCCTTTTGTGTCTTGTGAGACCTGAAATACCTTCACGATGCTGCGGATCAAAATAGTGTCAACATTTCGCAGGCGGCATCTCCAAATATCTAACGTGGCTTCAAATTCTGGCATTATGGAGTCATTGTGAACATTCAGTCAGGCTGTATACAGTGACCAATAAAAAACCATAAAATTTTTCACCATTTTCTAGTAGTTTAGCGACTTTAGATTAAGGAAACCACAGATGGCGATTTCCTGTGATATATGAGCACGAAGTAATTAGAGCGGTCAAAGCGAAGCTTGATTATATCACTCGGTGTGTTATTCAACAATTCAGCAGGAGCTTTTTCGCACTAAATACTTTGCCGTGAAGTTCAGTCCGGTGCCACATATCACGAGTACCAAACGTGCAATCG